ATCAGAAACTGCACTCCGTAATTATAAGATTACACATGGCGCTAAATGCGTGGACTATAAATAAGACGTTTAACCCTTATTCAAGTATATATCGAAAAGCGATTATTCGTTGACCAATCAATACTCATAGGAACCTCACGTACGAATTGCACATCCTTTCTACATTTGCTTAAATCAGAGAAACGTTCATGTCTTTACAGTAACGACCAAAGTCTCCTCAGTAAATTTTCCAAACGTCGGCTGGGTCAGATTTCGAATATTTTGCACCTTATTTCTATTAACAAAAATTGGTTACACTAAGAGAAGAAAGATGCTGACGTTGAGATAGCTGGAATATCCCTCATCCGCAACCACCCCCCAGGGGAAGAGGTGGGGAGCTACCCTACTACTCAGCGACATGCAGTGTGCAGTAGTCGAGAGTTGGAAACTCATGTAACATACTCAATATGTTGCTATTTCCTGTGCCCCTTGCTGAGGTTGATGTTGCATTCATGATGCTTCTTCACCGCAGTTGGGCTAAAACAACCTACACTTAACCTAGGCATTTTTTATGTGTATACAATTCATTATATGTTAGTTGGTTTGTTCTGCGTACTTGATAATCTTCTCCTTACTTGCACACGTCGCTCACGCAAATTGTGTTAAACTTGCGTAGTTTTCTCGCGTGGTATTTTTAAATAACTTTCGGACATATTGTAATTATCACGGATTCACTTGTAACCAATTTCTTCTATATGCTCATTTAGCGAGTATTTATGTCCTCACATGCGTTTACTTTAATCGATATCTGCATTTTGAATGATTGGCTTTTGTTTGACAAACCTGGTGTGACTGCGCTTGATTTGCATGTTGACAAGGTACCTACCTCTCTATTACCCACTACCTCATCCATACTGGCATTAGGAGACAGTTGGTCGTTGCTGGATGGGACGTGGTGCATGGTCCTTTTGGTCGTGCTAGGCTCGAAGAGGGGTTCCATGCACACAGTGTGGAGCGGACTACGGTCCAGCCACCGCCTTGTGTGTACTTGATTCCCCAAATACAGCCTGTTTGTATTTGTTGGTGAAGAAGTGTGGGCCAGCTCTGTGGATGAAACGTGGCTCACATCCGCATGCCCCCGGTCTTATTCCTTCGGATTTACATTGCATATTGGGTGTGTGGATGGAGCTGTGGGGGGTGCAGCGCAAGCCACCCATGGTCCCTTTGTAGACGCAGGCGTTCTGGGGCTTACCACAGTGATAGGCAAATCCGAAACGTGATGACGCCAGCGATGTTACGATCTCCAACTAAGACGCCTGTCTCTCAGCTGTCGTTTACCGCCCCCCAACGCGTACTCCGAAAATGGATTTCAGCTTGAAATGTGGCCCAAACCGAGAAAATTGCAGAAGGTATTACTACATGCTCACCTTTGGGGAATTCAATATACACCATCTTGAGTTATCGGCATCAGCCGATGAGCAGTTCAAAGCAGACTTGCATGAAGTTATTCCTAATATTCCCTTGTACAAGCATGTCACCATGCCCACTACATTCAAGACAGCAACCAACTTTTGTGACCACGAATAAAGAGCTCATGCTTGGCAAGATTTTGATGGATGGTCTATCAAGTCTAAGTGACCATGTAGTATTAACTTGCAGCTATGAGTGTCATGCAAAGTATCCATCTGCACATTCGGAACTAATTCATACGATCACAAGCTAGCACGTATTGAAAATTAACTCGTCGCCACAGCTGCTTGGGGATTCTCAAACTACTGTCCCCCTGCTAACGTTTGGATTGTGTTCTTTGATAGACTCAGCGACATCGTCAACGGTGTATCAGAGATCATGACCCTTCGTCCCGTCAAAAGTCATTCAAACTATGGAGCAGACGTCGAATTTGCCTGAATTAATAGGAATGCAGTATGGCGTGCCAACAAGGTTAAACCCGACTCAGAGATTTGTGGTAATTTCATGACCCATAGAAATTACTGCACTACACTTTTCCGTGGGGAAAAAGTAACTTATCAATAGTGCTTATCCAAAAATTTCCCGGCTAACAACTAACGGATTTCTAGGCATGTTAATAATCTAAGTGATGTGACTCATGGAATCCCTCCACGTTTCACTACAGGCGGTAGAGTACATAGCGCTCAAGGATCATCTAAGGCACTGCGGCCACAATCCGCCACAAGTTTCCAACTCGCAGCCTCTAATAGCCCATATTGTCATGCACATAATTGGCTCCATTGTCTATACATGTAATTTTCAAATTATCATTTGTGCTAAGTATGTAACTCTAACTGCTCGATCATATCTCTTCGGGAGTAGACAACATTCGCCCGAAGGCACTACAGGCTGCGGCCAACAAGCTAGCTAAACGTTGTCACAGTTCCTTCAAAAGGTTTTGAGGAACTAGTCCTCACTATGTAGAAGCGTGACATTATCACCCCCAATTTCTAGAGGCGGTAGCAGTTCAGAGCATGCAAAATGTCGCCCAGTGACTCTCATCCCTGTGATCGCGAATTTAATGTAAGCGCTTTTCGCTGAGGCTCTATTGGACTACCTGGACAATGCGAAATTTTAGTACCGGAACATCGTGGGTTCCGTCAACACGAGTCATGCAACATTAAATTACTGTTCACGGGGTAGATAGACAGAATGGCTGATGATGGGGTCGGAATGGAGAAAATATAACTTGATCACGATTTACCCCAACATGACTTTGATTGCAAGGTAAAAGATGAACCTGCTTTAGTTGAACATAGCTGTGCGAGGTGAGCCATTTGCGTCACCAGCCGGTGAGCGATTGCATTTTGGAGACCACAGCTAGGAGAAGGCATATTAGGAGCATGACCTGGGGGTATAGTTACAGGAAGATATCGGGTGTTCAAAACAAGCAGAGAAGGCGAAGAGAACCGGCAATCCACACTTCGGCTAGTTTCATAGAGCCTCCGCTCTGTTTGAAGCAACTGTCTCTCCCAAATGCTAAACTCATTTGTTCGACCGCACGTGGAGTATGCTATTAAGGCGTGGCAATCGTGGTAGAAACAAATCTCGTTGCTCTCGGCATTCCACAACGGATGGCAATCAAAAACGTCAAGGGCCTATTTTATGTACTCTATCAGCTTAGATTGAAACCTTTAAGAATATATAGTAATTAATATCGGCTTTTGTGAAGTGATCTCATAATGACTTACTAGATCCTGAAGAACATAAACAACATTTGCCGTCCGCTGCTGGAATTGAACCAAAATAAACTAAGTCGTCCTCCTCTTTAACTGACAATGCATTATAGCCGGCTTGAATGCTGTAGAAAGTGTTTTATCTCCGCGTGTGCCAGCCTTGGAAGGTTCTTCCCAACTATGTCGTTTCTGCTTCCAATCTGGTGGTAGTGAAATCAACGAGTTAACGATACCTTGTCTCATCAGCATTTCCTTTTTTGTATTGTTAGCCAGAGGCTGGAAAATGCAATCACATGTTTCATTATCAAACACCTAACCAAAGGATTTATGGATTTATACTTTAAACACTCGAACATCCCCGCTATTCTACATAAATCCATTATGAGTCCACCAAAACGCCTTCACTTTATCATGCAAGTTATTTTTTGCAATAATTTCCATCCAACGTGAATCCTTAAGTATTGCTTGTTTCCCGTAATACACCATTGTGCCATTTTTCCAAATGCAAATGCACCAGCCGTAGAATTTCACCACTTTTAAAACTGCGCTGTTATATTTATTTAATATTCATCGGACCGCTTCAGTATTTATCCAAATCGGCTAATCCACCTGGAATTTCCGGTCTGTCAAAAAGTAGACCAGAGAGGTCCGAACTAGACCATCCGGTGTGTAATATCGATAATTTTTGATACCTTGTTGCAGTAAACCATCAATACCGCACGATCTCAGTTTGCGGATGAGGAACTCATACTTTACCTTATAAAAGCCTTACCGTAAGCAGTGTAAGTTGCGTCAATCAGTTTACTGGTTCTGCACTTGCAACTAATTGTGCCTTAAAACCATTACTTTGTGATGCATCAGCGAAATTGCACTAAAAATGTTGTATGCAGGTCAAGATATTTTACCAGAGTCACAATGTTGCAGAATATTCTCCTTCATGAAATTCTTAGCTGTCGGAACAAGAAGACCTCCAGCAGATCGATGGGTATATTTCTGCTTTGGTTGGGTCAAAGAGCTGTGTTTACTCAGCTATAGTGATTCATATTACATAGGTTCCAAAATTGAAGACATTCAAATAAATATAATTCTTATTTGCTTTTACAATGGCAGTTGGAATTTTACTATCATACTAAAAATTAGGTTGGATTTACACGTAAATCAGCCACTGTGGGACAGGTTTCTTTATATCACATTAAACTGTAAGTTTCTAAAAGTTTGATTATGAAGAAAAAAGTTTAAAGCTTAAATTTAAAGTGCAAATACTGTATGTTAATTGCTGGCACACGCGCTGATTGCAGCAGTAATAACAATGTACAATTATTAGTTAAATACGTGCAGTTTGACGTTTAAATTCCAAGCATTTTAAAAGTGCACATGAATTTCTTAAATTTTTCCACACCTTGAACAAGCAGAATAACGGTTGCTTAGTTTTAGCGTTAACAGCATATCAGGATTATGTGAAGACTTTTCTTTGAAGCATGCTATGTTACTAGATGGCAAAAATCAAATAATATTTCGGTATGCACGTTACAGCCGGGACAGTCTTGCAAGTAGGTTCAAGCGACATGCCGCATGCAAAAAGTGGTATCCTAACCAAATATGATCACGTAGGGCAAACAAACAGTTACGTGCTGCTCACCTACAGAGATGGCACAAGACATACACTACAGGATGACACATATAGGTTTACCATTTACGTTTATAAGAGGAAATGGGTAAGTATTGCCGTGCCTTTTCAGCGTCACAGAGAAGCAATGCAAGCTAAACGCGATTTTTCCTTTTGCCTTTTAGGTAGGAGGTTTTCTTCAAGTAGACTGTTATTTTGGCGGAGGGTATATGCACTTTACTGGACCAAATATTACTTTGTCTGACGGCTATTTTCACAGAATACGTGGATTTCGCAGAGGCATCCATTTGATTTTAGAGATAGACAATAAGCAGCCTACGCATAAACTGCAAGGTAAGCAAAATTTGCTTTCGCACTATATGTAATTAATTCCCTACAAAAATTGCTACCCAAGGTTAGCCCCATATTTTATATTTATTAACTATGTTCTTTAAAACATTTGTAAAGTTATTGTGATTTTACTTAAGCAATACATTGTGATATTTTCATCCTGGAATAAATGTTTCAAGCTGTGCAAGAGCTGTCATAAGTTTTTAAATACGAGTTGGATTAATCTTATAAAGGAAAATAGCACGACTCCTCAGACAGAATGAGAAAAACTTGTGTAAGCCAAATAGGTGTAGTTTACTTGTTGATGCGCTTGTTAGGGTTGAAATCCCGCACTGTGTAATTTAAACTTTGGAATAGCTCACCAATTATATTAACTTGTATCACTCCATGCTAAAAGGGCAAACGTTAAGTCTAATAATGACAAGAAAATGGCAGAATAGGCAATTAACAAAAAATATGCTGGAAATAAATGGGCATTCAATTACATCAAACATAAAAATCTATGGTGCTTAAATAATTTTAAAATCTATATTTTTTTGGTAGTTCGGACTACTACGTATTTTAGGCAACTTTTTTCTGAAAAATTTATTTTGGTTTTTGTGAAAAAAGTATGTATGACTATCAAGCCCACAGTTTGAACTATTCTATTTTGTACACGTGCATGATTTTATCTGAATGTGATGAGGAGAGCAACATTGAAATCCACTACATATATTTCTGATTTTCGGCTGCTGCGACAATTGCGCTCGTAAAACAGCCTCTGTGTAGTTGCTGCTCTAGATATTTCTATATGTTTAAAACCAATTTTGATAATGACTTTAATTATAAAATATTCGTGTTGATTTTAAATACACTTGCATTAAAAGAATTCAATTACTCAATTACTCCTAAAATCAAAATGAAATTAGTTAACTTTTTCAAAAAACTTTTTATTGTCCACACCTACCGAGCTGATAAGCAGGAAGATATTTCGGCCTGTATATCAGGCTTAATAGCTAAAAATAGCTGATATGTAATGGCTACGCAAAACTGGGCAAGAAATATGCTAAGAAACTAATTCAGAATTTTGTATTCCAGAAGAGAAAAAATGTATTATTCTTTATCTAACTAGGTATAATTGAAACGGAAAAAGCGACAGCTGTTAAAGATCGAGTTACTAGCTTGGGCTGCCCTACATGAGAAGTCTACTTTATTTTGAAACCCTGATTTTGGGTTTATCTCTATCGCCAAATGAAGGATCTTTTTCGGAAACAAAAGGAATCGACAATACAAATAATATTTACATATATATATTATATATATTATGTAAATTTATATATATATATATATAATATAATAATGTAAGTTGCCTAAAGTATTTGTCTAACAGATTTCTATATTAATAGGTGGTTTTCAGCGTATTGGAATTTGCAGTTTATTTGCACAGATCATTCCTACAAATATATCGAGCACAAACTCAATAAACCAAAGTATCACAATAATCTATATGTTTATTCATTCGACTGCAGTGGTTCATATGTTTCGACTAAATATATATGCTTCATTCCAGATTAGCTGCAGGGTTTAAAAAAGTGGATCAACATATATGTTACAAATGTACTAAACCCCCAACATCGTTTTCAAAATTTAAACTACGGAACTGCTTGCGGTTGCATTTTAATGCTATCTAACAAAAGGCAGTATTGATCGCAATTGAGCATTAACGTTTCTTTTCAAATAAATCCTTCAAAAAGATTTAGGTTTTAATTTATCTACTTTCGGGTCAAATAATAATATGTTATGAAAGAATGTGTGAGTTGTTATCGAACTTATCTAATGAAAGTGTATCGTTTGGTAGAACACGTGCGATAACAAACATTTATCTTAAAGTAGTTCATTGAATAAAAAAGCATTGACTAAATCTAAAAAATTCCAAAGACGAATATGCAGAATATCAATGGGAAAATAGAAATCTGATTTTCGTGAATAAAATGATGACTGCCAAGATATTTAATTTCTTGTGAGTGATGTATTCTGAATTTCCACATAATTTTCCCAAATTTACCAAGCTGCTCCACAAATATAAATATTTAACTTCTAATTTTGGACTTCCTTGCAGCAAGTGAAATAATGTTCCAGGTTTTGCCATGGAGTTGGTTTGCATCTATACAAATATTTATATTGTTTTTGTATGCCGTAATTGGAATTGTAGCGGTGTTGGCCTAAATAATGTTCATTTTGATTTGGCTTTAAAGGTTTGCATTAAATAATCTTTTAATTGAATTCTGCTAATTTTAAACACTTGCGAAATCAATGTCGACATGGAGGTCTATTTGTAATCCATAGGCTAATATCGGTCATTAGGTAAACTTCGCAAATTTGTTTATTGGTTCAAAACGCGAAAAATACAACGCGTATACTGGTTTCATTACAAACTATCAGTTACCAAATATCAAGATTAAGCACACCTGTTTTGCATTACGATCAAGTGTAATCCTAATTTTGCACTTATAATGTTGGTTACAGGAAAAACAGGGAGACAGTTCAATGATCAAGATGCAATATGGCTCGGAGGTGCTCCACTGTTTAATATATCTTGTTTCCTCCGTCTTTTCTTGGTCGGTAAGTGCAATATAAGTGAAGTTAGTTTTCGTCAAACGCAAACTAACCCGTAGTACGTGGCCTCTTATAAACTCAACAGCTTAGACTTGAGGCAAATTATCAATTCAACGTTTTTCAAAAAAACAAGTGAAGCGTACGTTTCTGCGAAAACATATACTTGAAAAATAAACACATTTATTTAGACGAGTAATCATACTTAATTCACATTACACTTAGCGGTTGTGCAATAGCGTTTCAGGCAAATGTACTGTATGATATCAAATAGGCTAACGAGTGCACTTTCATATTTCAGGTGTATACTACAACGGCTTACTGCTGAACGATCTGATAGCTGGACTATCCCATAGATCGTTTATCAAAGCAAAAATATTTGGCAGTGTTATTCACGTGCCAAATTTCTCTGTCCGATTAGTGCAAAATGGCATGTTTACTTGGTAAGTGAATTATGACAAATAGCACCCATGGTAAATATTTTGTCTACCTAATCACCACAATATTATTTCATAAAGCATTACCATATATTCAGGCATATACGGCGTAAGTCCACTTTCAGTTACTCACAAGTCCATGTAGTTACCCCAATGGTGGACGCTTTATTGACCAGCCCATTCAAAATCTTAAAAGGTATGACGTTGTCACTGAAGGAGTGAGCCAATCTGCAACATCAGGACAGGTACTGTGAGCTTATTGGCAAAACGTCGCGCCCCAAGCAGAAGATATGTGTTAAAATTTGCGCACCTAATCGTCAGCCCTCGGTAGCTCAGGTGGTAGAGCAACGGACCGGAAATTCGTGGACCGGGGTTCGACTCCCCGTCGAGGCATACTATTTGCGTGAATTTTAATCGTGGCTTCTACTTTCTTCGAACTTTACACTACTCACAAACATCCACCATTAATCTGCTATCGCCCATTGGACGTCTGAAGGACAGGAACTTCGGTCTATTGGGAAGTGACGGGTGAGTGAGCCAATCTGCAACAGCAGGACAGGTACTGTGAGCTTATTGGCAACAAGTCGCGCACCAAGCAGAAGACATGTGTTAAAATTTGCGCATCTAATCGTCTGCCCTCGGTAGCTCAGGTGGTAGAGCAACGGACCGGAAATTCGTGGACCGGGGTTCGACTCCCCGTCGAGGCATAAGATTGTGCGTGAATTTTAATCGTGGCTTCTACTTTCTTCGAACTTTACACTACTCACAAACATCCACCATTAATCTACTTTCGCCCATTGGACGTCTGAAGGACAGGAACTTCGGTCTATTGGGAAGTGACGGGTGAGTGAGCCAATCTGCAACATCAGGACAGGTACTGTGAGCTTATTGGCAACAAGTCGCGCACCAAGCAGAATACATGTGTTAAAATTTGCGCACCTAATCGTCAGCCCTCGGTAGCTCAGGTGGTAGAGCAACGGACCGGAAATTCGTGGACCGGGGTTCGACTCCCCGTCGAGGCATACTATTTGCGTGAATTTTAATCGTGGCTTCTACTTTCTTCGAAGGAATATTTGTTGAAAGGGTCAAATAGGGTTTGATGTCGGAGTCATTTCCTACCTGCCATTAAACGAGGCTTTGACACTTTTTATGGTTATATGAGCCAAGCTTGCTTGAATAAAAGAATGCAGTATCCAAATGCTCAGAGGAGTAAAATCTACAGAAAGCAAATAAATTAAGAAGAAATTTAGGGCACAATAATTTTTGCAAGTAATAAGATTGGTCCTGTATGTATTGTTTGAAGTTTTCCTGAAAATATTTAAGTTCAGCCCAGATAATGTTAAGCGATGAATTCTCAAATGGTTATTGCTGTATAAATTGATAATGCAGTACTAAATAAAAATACATGCAATTTACACACAAAATGCAAATAAATATTTGCACTTTATGTTGAAGAATTTCATGTTACGCATATAGCTCAAAAGGTTAATATGCTTTGATAAACCACTACTATTTTTCACCCAACAATCATAGACGTTTAATTCCGCATATTATATCCTCATCGAAGTATACTGATTAAAATGCCTCTCGGTGATTGAAATACTCATAATCCATAGATTCTGTACGGTGCAAAATTAGTACCAACAGTTTACATATTTTTATTGTTTACTTTTATGATAATGCCTGCAGCAGCTTATGTTTCTAAGATAATACCTAACCGTGCAATATCTTTGATAGTAATAACGTGAAATATTGCAGATTATTTCTTTTATTTCAAATCGCAATGCCTTTGTTTTAAATACTAGATGGATTAATTTATCAATTTTTTATTCCTTTCTGCTTAATCGTAAAACAACTATATTTAAATATTGTTGTTGCACATAATATCATATATCATCAAAATTCAGAACTTGGATGGTTACCATAAAGTATGATGCTTTATTGTTGCTTTTATTTTAATTTTGCTAATACAATATGACCATGCAAGTAGAAAAGTTTAATTTTAAATCTTTCCTGATACTTATATTATTATATTTAAACTTTCGATACAAGCGCATTTTATGCATTTCTTTCACAGGAATTTCGAAACTAAACAGCTACAATATGATGCCAAAATCGTTGATGAGCACACCCCTGATCACTATAATGTGCGCACTCAAGTAGGCTTCATCACCCATAAGAAATTGAAGAATCGTCAACCACATCGTGTATCGGTCGAGCAAAAAAGCAGTGTGCAAGCAAATAAGCTGTTTACAGTTAATGGGACTGCTTTCACTCTGACTTCAGGAATGCAGTCATCTGGATTAACTGAAGTCAACATTTTGCTTGTCTTCTGTCTGGCCGGCGCAGGATGTGTGATACTTTGCTCAATTACCTTGTTAGCTTTTAGGCTACCCATGATTTGCAATCGCTGTTCGTCGCGCGTGGCTGAAAGTCCAAATTATGGCATTCGGAAATGTTGTCAAACGCGAGGAGAAACTCGCAGTGAAAAAGCACTGAAAGCAAACTTGAGAACACCAAAATTTCAAAAGCCTTGCATCACTACTTCTATATCGGCATGTAAACATGGACACAACTTGTCAAATAACATTAAGATTATGGACACGGATTATGCACCTGAAACAAGGCACATAAATGTCCTTTCTTACAATTCTAGCAGTTCGCCGGTTGCCAACCAAATAAAACACATCCCAAGCTGCCCCATTCATATGACATTTCCGACCCACTTGGTATATGCCAGCCAAAATTATTTGTCATTTGCTTCCCCCGCGAAAGAAAAAATCTCGGCAAGTACAGACTACACAAACATCGTCGCCAATGTGCCTCAAGAGTGACCAGCCGAACAGAATGTCAGTTATACCAATAAATGATATTTTGGTTCTTATAAGTTTGACTTGGAAAACACATATGCAGCATTACCATTTACAAAAGTTTGCCTGTCTTTCGTTTATTTTATCCAGAGCTAAATAAAATGCAAAGCTTTAATTGATCAGATAGCTTAGTTTTTATTTTTCTCCAATTGTCCTTCGCTAATTTTTTGCTATATATACGTGGCAAAAGAGGTATAAATTGCATAGCGGTTACAGAACAAATTCGATGAATAGAAGCTTGAAACAAACAGGTCATACGCATTTGCCTGGTTTGAGTAACATGTGAGTAGCAGAAACGCTTGTTTATTGGAGGGTGTTTGACAAATCTGAAAAAAACATTGCTAAGTGCTCTTTAGTCTTCTAATTATGCCTAATACTATTCCCCACCCCACCTTCTGAACAATATATTTACTGCGCATTCATCACATATTTGCATGATGTATTTATTTAACCTAATTTGAACAAATGTCGTGATTCTAGTTCTTTTACTGTGCGGCCTGTAATGTGTAAATTGTATTTCGTGTCTAATTTCCCTTGACAAGAATGATGCGCATATTTTCATGGGTTGATTTAATCAGCATATAAATTACTGAGGTCAATGTCGTCAGCAAAATCAAAGGCAGATAGCAGATTAACCAGACAGAAGAATGACTGACATTGAATAAGGAAACATAATTTGCGTTTATATCACTTAATTGACGTTCCATTCTATTTGTTTATTCTCGATTTCACTTAACCGCAAAGCAGATTAAAAAACTGACTCAACGTTATAAACAAATGCATTGCATAAACTTCAAATTAAGCAGCTACAATTTAGAACCTACTGGTTAGGCATGAAATGAAATCTAACGTTTGCTAAAATGTATGCATCAGCACACGCAGTAAACTGTTTTCGTTATAAATTCAAGTTGCAAGTATAACAGTCCTTATCTGCTCATTCAAAACTATTAAATTCCGCTCCTCGCCGAAGACATCACATTATGTGCGACGAAAATTGCAATGAATTGTTAAACACAAATCAAAATATTTGCAAAATGATACTGCCATTCGTCTATAAGTAAGCATTTACACATGAGTTATTATGGTACAGAACCAATAGATATTTTTTTGGTAAATAACTTAACTGTCAATTGTAAAAAAGACTGAAAGTAAAGAGCGATGCTAATGCGGAAAGTGCAGTTACTTCCACTTAATGTTATGAAAACCACGGAAAACGGAATTTGATAGCTTATTGCTTTACATATTATGTTCTTAATACCGTAAGCAATAAACCTTAGCAAGAATATCGCTAAAATTATTTACGGTCAGGCATGCATCGTATGCAGATGAAATAAAATTAATTTATCTGTATAGACGTGAATGCTAGTGGCTGACAAAACATAGTTAGTGAACACACAGGACTGGCTTTATCATGGTTATCGTAACATCCACAGAATGCTGGGGTAAGTGTGTTATTCTGACGCAAGGAAACCGTAAACACTTAGCTAAACTAGATGTAATGTTCCCATATCAGGAGGTTTTGCTTCCTGACTGAGTACGCCGGCAGCATACGCTAAAATGTAGATAAATAGAATGTGAGGTCTAGGTAGGTGTACGCTGAAACAATTTGAGCACAAAACAATTCATTCTGGATTCCGAGGTTAACATATTCTTTTATGTTAGTGGCTCCTCAGTTACACAGGAGATAGTATTAATTGTATTCAACTTGATAGACTTAGACTGAACCGTATAAGTGCATATATCGTGTAATATTTTAACGACAATTTGTGTAGCCAGGACTATCTCCTGGATATTTTTTGAGTTTTTAAATCAAACGAACCTGAGATTTTCTGTAATTCGCACGTACGCTTTCATTCTTTGGTGCGTTAACACCCGGTGTATATTTATTAATGCATGACGGTGGTGTTAACTGCATAAGGAGAACATACAGTGCTTCTAATTTTGAGTAAATAATTATGCCCTAGAAATATATTTTCCGTAAAATGACACACATTCCTTTCCCACTTGACCCCTCCGTGCGCCATTTGTTGACTTGGATGATATTTGAAACAGTTAGTTCCCTTTAGTAATTTGAAAAGCGCAGTAAGAAGACGAAGACTGGCAAATGCACGCATTTCGTATTGTTTCATCGGTATTTTTAACAATAACTCGCAAATAAATGATACTGACGAAATTGTGCTTATATATGCTAGCAGAAATATTGCTAAGCAGCAATATACAGGTTAAAACTAGCTGTCAGTCACTTTAATTGTTTGCACCCTAAATAAACAAAGCTTTTCTCCAACATTTACATAGAGTACTTCTCTCGATTACAAAAGTGGTTGTAATCGCTGTTGTAAAATTGAGGACGAATTCTGGAAAGTATAGCAAAAGCGCAAAGCTGTGTTTTCAACTCTCGCCACCGACGGCGCGGGCGGGACATCACTCTCTCCTTAAAGTGGTAGAGTGCACAATTATACTGTGGGGTCGAGAAACCTCGCGTATTTGTTGAGCTGACGGAAGAGGCTATCGAAATACGAACATCGCGCTTTCGTAGTTTGGCTTATATTTATAGTTATGACACTGTATTAGCAATGAGAACGATCGGCGGCTTTTGTAGGCCACTGGAAGGTTAATTTACCGCTCAGTGCCTTTTTTTCACGGGCATAGTTCCGATGAGTAGTCCACGTGTTGCACACGTCAGCAAACCGAATTCTGCGCCGTGTGAACTCTACTCTCCTGGGAAGTGAATGGAAGAAGAAGCCCAATCAACGACATGGTCACGAGGAATGGAGGTCATGTTTGAATCTGCTCTTAGTTGCAGCCTCTTGGATCCCCGGTTGGGGTCGGAAATCGGATGATAAAATTTAGCTGGATATTAACAAAGCTTGGAGCCAACCTCATTAGGGTTCCGGTTTTGAGCTTCATTTTTCCATCATCCAAGTATGTTCTCATTTCTTAACAATAATTTAGTCATGCTGTGGCAATTAGGGCGGCTATAAGCTCAAAGGAATATTGCACAACAATTAATTTTGTCTTATATGTCGTAAGTTATTTGCTCTGTGAACAATTATTGCAATACTAAAGCTGAAGTATTTCCGTTATTTACATAAATTGTTTAGGGTGAATATAGGAAATGTCGGCCTCCTAAAAAACCTATTCCTATGATCTAGAGATATTGAATATAGTTGCGAGCAGTGTTTAAATTATTGTTTTGTCACACCAATCCCCAGTTACTCTAGCTTGCTGAAGATGTGACGATCAGCAGTATGAAGTCAGACCTGTGCGTTTAGTAACAACCTTTTTTAACCAAGGGCTTTCATAATTATGCAGAAGCATTTATTAGATATATCTTTATTACAAGCTTGTCTGGCTACCTACAATGTTAGGTATATCCATGTTATCGGTTTTGTTAATTTTACTAAAGGGATAGTGTGCGATGAATAAACCTACGACCTCTTAATACTTATACGTGCTCTTTTAAATCGTTGTATTATTCCGACCGCTTTCTATTTGCTATTGCGCTGTAGAATAAATAAAATATACTTGATGCAAAATAGGTTTTAGTTTTAGCACCAGTTTATCCATACATCTTGCATTTCGGTTTTTACAAGTGTTTAAAACAAATATTTCTCTTCAGTATTTTGAACGAATAAATGGGCAGACGAATAATAGCAGATGCTAACGTTGTTGTTATTTCGTCAATACCAATATATAAAAAGTTGTCTATTAAATAATTTGTACATCTACCAGTTTTTTCATATTTGCATATTTTTAAAAAGATCCTAATTTTAATTTTTTTACTATATATATGTATTTATGTTTGTATGGTATTTTTTATTTGTCTTCCAAGTAACCTTAGCTCTAGGTTAATCCCAAATACGAAACAATTTTTTCTAATGATTACCACAGCTATATTTTAAAAAATTAACTGAATCACTCAAATTTTGAAACGACTCCCTTTTGCTTCAACTTCTGCAGTAATATATAGCAAATGCATCACTGTATAATATGAATTTACCGCTCTATCTGTTCCCCGAATTAAGCTCCGGTATACATGAAACACGCTTCGCATAGCTTGAATATTCATTTGAAACAAACAAACATTTCTCAAGAGTGCATGCTTGGAAATTTTAAATATGTACATATAAAGCCATCATTATACGATTAATATATGATATATATGATAAAAATTCGTACAGCGGTACTATGCACGTCGGCGTATTACATAGTGCCGGAATTATCTATATATAATTCGACGTAAGATAAATAAATTTTCTCACATCTTCCTATATTAATTTCAACGTTTAACTTTTATATGCAACGTATATTTATGAAAGAAATATCACTCATACAAACTATTTCATAGTAGGTTTTGCTGTAGAAACTTTAATTAGAAGGTTAATTATGCCCAACCTTAATCATTAGAAACCTTTTTGGCTGAATAGTTATGGAAACGAAGAACGGCTGCTCAGCAATGATTGTTCTCGTATCCAAGGTGCAACATTGTCGTCCGCATGTTGGCAAGTTCAACTAATATGGCAAACTAATTTGGAAAATTAAAAATTTGTTACCTTTTTGATTTTTGCGATGACATGCTACGTTGTCTTTTTAAATGCGAAAAATTTCAGAACAATCAAATTTGAAATATATTAAGGTTGCTTATATTATGGCCAGGTAAATTCCACTTAATTCCTGATAATCCTACAAACCAAATATGTTTTCTGCGTGCAAATTTTGCATTTGATCAATCGCGTTTAGCATCCTCGTCTAGGCTATTTACACTTGAATCGCAGACCAGAGGTCAAACAGATTACAACACACAATACAGATTTAAGGTTCTAAATGTTCGAACAATGCTGAAGCCAGTTTAAGTAAACAAAGTATGAACAGCGTATTTTGACGCACGTTATTTATCTCAGGCTTAGTTTAGCCATAATTTGACTTTAATTCATTTGTGTGTCATTGTGCATCAAAAAGATAAATGCCATGAAC